CATATGAAATAACAAAAGAAAATAGTGAGACGGGAAAATTAGAATTTTTAATGAAATTTCACTATGAAAATAATATACGTGATTCATGTGCAATTTATTCTATACAACGAATTAAACGTTTAGCACAAGAACAAAGTACTATCTCAACATCATTACCTTTGTCTTGTAATTCAACGATATTTGTGAGAATAGACGAAAATAGAATGGATATAATGAAGGTATTGATGACGGGACCTGATTCAACACCCTATGCAAATGGATGTTTTGTATTTGATGTTTATTTTCCAAATGAATATCCATTAGCACCTCCATCTATCAATCTCGAAACAACTGGAAATCATACTGTCCGATTTAATCCAAATTTGTATAACGATGGAAAAGTATGTTTAAGTATATTGAATACATGGCACGGTAGACCAGAAGAGAAATGGAATGCAACGTCAACATTTTTACAGGTAAAAATAATCTATACAATCATGGCTCTCATAGATCTTTATAGTCGGAAAAACAATTCTCTCTTTCAGTCTAGACTCTGATATCAATAACTCCGAGCACTTCTCATAGATGTCTTACATTAGTAATGTATATTTCCTGATTTATTTTAGGTTCTTGTATCAATTCAATCACTGATATTTGTGTCTGAGCCTTATTTCAATGAACCAGGCTATGAAAGAATGCGTGGTACATCAAACGGTAATATACAATCATTGGAGTATGATGCAAATATACGTCAAGCAACAGTCAGATGGGCAATGTTAGAGCAAATTCGAAATCCTCCTGCTTGTTTTCAAGATGTTATTAAACGACACTTTTTTCTTAAGCGAGGTAAGCGCCATTTCTATTTAAATATTCAATTTATTTAATTGTTTTTGTTTTAGTTGAAATAATGGAACAATGTGATAATTGGATACGTGAATTAAGCGGTAAAAATGCATATGAAAAACGTTTGAGTACAACTGTCAATCAGCATTGTTCGTCTCTTATTCGTTATACGAATGAGTTGAAAAAAGAACTTAATTGTTTACAACCACCAGATGATTTAGAAATTAAACCAAAATTAGCTCAACTATTAAAATACGATTTAAAACAACAACAATATCAATCAGCAACATTCACTACTGAAACAAATAATAATAAAAATGTTACAGCACAAACTACTTGGAAACCAGAAACATTGAATATAGGTATTGTTTCACCGGAAAAAACGATGAACGATGAACATTCAATAACAATCAAAGTTTTACCCAATTTACAATATAATAGTTTAAATGACAAACAAAGTGATTATCAACAACAACAAGATAATATGGCCACATCGACAACTGATACTTCGGTATCATCTCCATTATCCTCACAACAAACATTATCTAAAACTGAAACAGCAACAAATTCCTCTCCTTATTTTCCATTTGTTTATTCGTTAGAAAATAATTCATCAGCCGTCTCACCATCATTCACACTACCAGAGCAAATAAATTCCACATTACCTCAGCATTTTGCCGATGAAGATAGCTGGCAGGATGAATATGACGATATAGGTAAGTACAGTTATTTGATCGAAAGTTAATGCATGTTTTTCACACCCTCTTTTGAATATTTGTAGAAGAATTGTATGAAAATGGTACGATGGACGATGATGATGGTGCCCTTGATTGGTATATTTAGATGACACTGACAGATATATCCATCCTTTGTTGTTCATTTCGTTTTTGTCTATGAGTAATTTGAGTAAATATTTTTTTTGAATAATTTTCAACCTTTGAGTCAATAATTGATACAATCACGTATTTTCTATTATTATGTTTTGTTTCTGGAAGAAATTCGACAATAGAATTCTTCTCTCATTGCTTTTTTATATTCGTGCATGGATTTAAACCCGAGTGATTTCTTCCGAAAGAAAATACTTTATTTTTATGCTTTTTTTTGTTATCGATCAAAAACTGCATTTTTCGTGTCTCTTTCGCGAAAACAGTACGTTTCTTTATTGTTAAACTTTCTTCTTGTTAAAAGTGAATATTGTATATATTGATCATCATTTTTTAANCATTTTATTTAATATTCTTATTTAAACAGTCGTTTTTTTTGTTTCTTGCTACAAGATATTTTTTGTACTTCTATACATGGATATATCCACTTCTTATTAAAGCACTTTTTCAAAGTGACAAAATTTTGATCTATATAAGCAAATCTGACACAACTGATTGTGCAACATACACTACGCAAATAATCACGATTATCTTTAATCATGATTAAAAGATAATCGCGAATTAAACATTTTCTAGTGTAACCGCAATTTTTTTGGATCATGATTAACGATATTTAATCACGATAAACAGAATTGTGTGCAACCACACTAATCACCATTAAAAAGATAACCGTGATTTAACTCGTACCTATTACTATAAATACTCAGTGTGCAGGAGAGAACTCATTTTTGTGTTGCTAAGGTTAAAGTAAATATAGTAACACTTTTTAATCTGATCAATAGATTTGTTGACACCGGCTGCTAATGAACTCTTCTTGTACTTTTTTTCCCCCTATCACGATTCCGAAGACTAGCCATTTCATTCGATATCTTTTCATCATTTAACAAATTTAGCAGCAAGTTTGTTTCTTCCTCAGATCTACACGATCTTTTCTCCTTCGTTTTATTCTCGTAACTCTGCGTAGTCATTTTTAATGGAAAAATTAATATTAAAAAAATTATTATTATAAAATTATTACTTAATTATTCACGATTATCTTTAATCGTAAGATGCACGGAAAGCAGAGTTCGAGTGGAAAATAGATTCGGTTCTTTTGCACATCATTCGATAGAGAATCGAGCGGCGAGCACGAATATCATTTCCCCGACTCCGGAAACGCTTTTCTCGCGGAGTTATGGCCAAAATACTCGGAGGGACCAGAAAAACCGTTTTCGCTGTCTTTTTTTGAATTTGAAATTTTTTAGCCTGGTTTGGAGTTGGAGTATTCTGACACAGATATTCTTGATCAGCGTCGAAAACTGAACAAGCATATGGACTCAGAAAGATTTTAGACCCAAAATCTCTTTGGGGTAGGCACACTGAGAGAAAAACGCCCGAAAAATCCTTCCGGTTTTTGCAAACCTGTCTTCTATTTTCTGGAAGATCGTAGAGCCTCAATTCACACTGCGTTCGATTCCTCGTGAGCTCCTCTTTAACTTAAAAGAGAGCCTTTTTCGAAATTCCTTTTATGGGCACAATCGCGAATTTTTCGCTCTTATTCAGAAGAAATAAATTTTTCAGCAATGAAAATGAATTTTGAAGATAGTTCTTTATGCATTTCAAGATGTTTCTTGAGCGCGTAGCTAGCAAAGTGCATTGGTTCCAAGTTTTCGTTGAGCAGGTCTGAAAAACTAGCCGGCCAATTCTACAAAGTTAAACTCGTCTCACGTAGGATCTACAGCCCTGCAGATTAAACCTAACCTATAGGTTAGGTTAGGTTTAGGTTATGAAATTTTTTATAGGTTAGTTGTGGTTTACGAGTACACGGATTTCTGAGTACGAGTATTTTCTGAAAAGTACTCGAGTACTAGTCGAGTATAAAATTTTTCTAAAGAAGCCGATGATTCCGAAAAAATCGATTTTTCGATACCTAAATAGTAAGAAAAAAGGTCACCAATTTTTTGGGAAGTACTCGAGTATTTTTTGGAATACTCGATAAAAAAAGTCCCGAGTACGAGTACTGGGAATTTTGTACTCGTACTCGCCCATCTCTGGTAGGTTACATCACTGATAACCGATTTTTAACCTAAACGAAAAAAAATGATTTTGAACGACCACATCAGACCAGCCGACACTTTGAGTGATAAAGTGTAGTCCGAGTGGCATTTTATCGATCGAGGAAGTTCAGACTGAGGTTCTCTAGTTTAAACTGAACTATTTTTAAACTGAAAAATAGCACAATCAAACAAGGAAGTACAGAGAAAAAATTTCCGTTTTTTTTTACGGAAATTTTTTCTCTGTACTTCCTTGTTTGATTGTGCTATTTTCAGTTTAAACACTTTTTCCCTCAGGAAAAAACCTTTTTATCTTACATCCGATTTCGATGACGCTTTCAGTGACTAATGCTTACTGCCCTACTAGCTTGTGCTAAAAATTTGAGATCGAAACGTTGAAGTGGTGCCGAGTTATTGCGCGACAAGGGACAAAATGGAGCTCTTAGCAATAACGTAAAGACTTTATTGTTGGAAGGTGTAGAAAGCTGCGAGAGGCCTCAAATGAAAGTCGACAACTAAATCTGAAATTTGATCCGCGGCGTTTTTTGAATTTCGCTACCGTTCATTTTCTACACGTATTTTAATCAGACCTCTGACGAGAACCCTAATTCGGCGGAGTATTTCCTACTTATCTCTGCACAAAAAACAAAAATCGCCGCGGATCAAATTTTAGATGTCTTAGCTTCAAAATAAGAGAATGAAGGTTTTACGACGAATCGTCTAGGAGTTGACACAACGTTGCTGCGCCAAAACCATATTCTAAAGCAATGACGTCATTACTTCATTAATTATAGTTCAGCGCCTTTAACAAAACTAGTATAATTCTGCAAGACGAAGTCGTACAAACCTGCTTGACATCTCATTCTGATCGGAACACTCTGCTCAACATAGAATTCCATGTCTGTTAAAACGGACAATCTTAAAAATTTTAATTGAAATGTGAAAGTTAGAAAAAGGTGATTTTTAGGGCTTTCAAAAATCTTTTTCAAAATCCTCCAAAAACATTGAATGTTTGACAAACTGAGATGAATTCTGAAAGGTGACACTTTGGGATACTGAACCATACGGTTACTTCAGTTTCCAAGAAAATATTGAATTCCTGATGGGGTCCTTAATTCGGTTAATTTTTGACCAAACGACGGGAAGTTGCAATACCCCCCCCCCCCCCCCCCCCCCCCCAAGCCCCCCAAGAAGTCGGGGTGTTGTTGGGGAGCCGGATGGTGATGGGGGCTCGTGGGGTGGGGGGGGGG